TTCATTTGCTGACATTTCATTACTCAACTAGCAATGGTGGGATTCAAAAAAAATTACTACCAGTTCTGTTGGCATGGCTTGGTGCGTGTGGTGTGGCTTGGTGGGCATGGCAGGGGAAGGATACTGTAAAATCTCCGTTCCCACCCGCTCCAAGGGAAGGATACTGCAAAATCTCAATTTCCTCCCCACTCCTGAGGGAAGGTTACTGCAAAATCCCATTCCCTCCCCACCCCACTAACCTGTTTTCCAGCTTCTTTTTCCTGTGCAGGGCAACAAAAGAAGACCCAGCCGATCAGCTGGGACTTGGGAGGCAGAGAATAGATGGGGCGGGGCCAGTCAGAGGTGGTACTTGCTGGTTCTCCGAACTACTCAAAATTTCCGCTACCGGTTCTCCAGAACTGGTCAGAACCTGCTGAATACCATCTCTGTCAACTAGGTAACATCCTCTGTGCTAGTGAGTGTGGGGTTTGCTCTCTGTTTACACACAGTGGCTTGCCCTGCCAGTGTTGGTGGAAGTGATTTCCTCCTTCTTAATTCCAAGCAAGGCCCTATATAAATTTGGAGTGAATCCCACACTCACCAGCACAGATGATTTTACCTAGTTGGGTAATGAGACATCAGCAAACAAATAACCCCAGGACTCCACAATTCAATCCTAAACTACACATATTCTCTTCCATTGGAACCTGCTATGAATATTTATGAAAACTAAACATGACAAATGTCTTAAGTTTTTCCTCAAAGGTATAAGAAATATTTCCTTTAAGAAATAAAAATACCTCTCTGTAACTAGTTTTTTCCTGTCAGATATCAGTGCTTGACCCAAAATGCTCTAGAAATCTCAGGTTTGTTTACAGCTTTGTCCTTGACAAGCATTTTTAGAAGCCTGCAATCAGCACAACAAGCCATTCGATCTGTCCTTTGGCACCCTCCAGCTGCTACTTGGAATTTCAACACTGTTTTATTGCACTGCTTGTCCTCTCAAAACTGCAATTTCATATGGGTTTCTCTTATCTCAGAAGAGATCACATGAATAGAGAAGCACTGAAGCTGACCAGCAATGTTTCCCAGAAACATTTCAAGCATAATGTCTTAAGATAAATGACCAGGAAGTTCTACATAGAATAGGAAGAGTCTTAAGCCCTGCCTTTGAATTGGAAGATGTGCAATTAACTCCTTTCTCCCAGCTCCAACTCAGTTGGTTCTGCATGGTCACTATAGAAATTTAAAAAACACAAATAAAATCATGTCACATGTCATTTTGATGGAAAGGATCAGCCATTTTGTTGGAAAGGGTCAGCTTTTTGACCAAAGTCATATCAACTCTACTTAGAAGAGTCCACCAGTGCAGATTTCACCAACATTTTGTTCACCAAAATCCTACTTGGTAGCAGGATGCTTTCTGAATACAAAAATAAATAAAAATTGGGATTATAGACTACTACAGCAATGAATTTACGCACTTTTTATACTTGTGTGTATATGTGATTCAGGCAGAAATAATGCTGAATGGAAAATCAGCTCATAAAAGTAAAAATGTTCAACATTTCTTTTTCCAACATTTTTCTGTTCAAAAGAATTTCTTGTGGGTTTTAGGACTAAACACACTTCGAACCCACAATGTGTATGGAATGAGAGGGAAGGGAATTGGAGGCAGAAACATTAACCAAAGAATTAAATATTCTCTTTGTAAATTGTTTACTGCTATTATTATAATGGTTGGTTGCATAGTCAACCAGCTGTTTAGACTGAATTTGGCATTTATATCCACCTATCAAGGCCTTCCCAAGGATCTGGATAGGTAGATATTATTTTCATGGGGTGAGAGGTATCATCGCATGACATAAGCATTATTATAATTAAATGTAATAATAATTATTATTATACACAAAAAAATGACAGTGTACACAGCAAACAAGATAATTATGCTGGGTTTCGTATCATAAATCACTAGTCAAACACTTCCCAAGCGTTTACAACTGCGTGATGTATCGGCGGATTATGCGAGCAGATCCCAGTAAGGTGGCCTTTTGCAGCTGACCAATGGTGATTTTGTCAGTGCCAATTGTTTTTAAGTGCTTGCCTAGTTCTTTAGACACAGCACACAGTGTGCCAAGTACCACTGGAACCACCTGTTCTGGTTTATGCCAAAGTCTCTGCAGTTCGATTTTCAAGTCCTAATATCTGGTGATTTTTTCAAGTTGTTTCTCGTCGATTCTGCTGTCACCAGGTATGGCAATGTCAATGATCCACACTTTTTCTTCTCCACAATCATGATATCTGGAGTATTGTGTTCCAAAACTTTGTCAGTATGTATTCAGAAGTCCCACAGTAGTGTTGCATGCTCATTTTCAACCACTTTCTCAGGCTTATGATCCCACCAGTTCTTTGCTACAGGCAGATGGTATTTGTGACACAGGTTCTAGTGGACCATCTTAGCGACTGTATTGTGACGTTGTTTGTAGTCAATCTGAGCGATTGTCTTGCAACAGCTCAGTATGTGATCGATGGTTTTGTCCGCTTCTTTGCAGAAGAATTTGGGGTCATTAGCAGATTTTTCTAATCTGGCTTTAATTGCATTCATTCTGATGGCTTGTTCTTGGGCTGCAAAAATCAGGCCTTCTGTCTCTTTCTTCAGTGTTTCGTTGGTCAGCCATTTATTGATTGATTGATTGATTGATTGATTTGGTTTGTCAATTGCTTACAAGATAATAGGTATAAGTAAAAGCATAGTTATGAATACATGGATACATATAAGAAAAATAAAAAAATAAAAGAAACAATAGGACAGGGACGGTAGGCACGTTGGTGCGCTTATGCACGCCCCCTACAGACCTCTTAGGAAAGGGGTGAGGTCAATAGTAGACAGTCTAAGGTTAAAGTTTTTGGGGTTTGGGGAAAAAACCACAGAGTCAGGTAGAGTATTCCAGACATTGACCACTCTGTTGCTGAAGTCGTATTTCCTGCAATCAAGTTTGGTGCGATTAACCTTGAGTTTGTATCTATTGTGTGCTCTTGTATTGTTATGGTTGAAGCTGAAGTATTCATTGACAGGTAGGACATTGCAATGTATGATTTTATATACTATACTTAGATCGGACCGAAGGCGGCGTAGTTCTAGGTTTTCTAGGTCTAGAATTTCAAGTCTGGTGTCATAAGGTATTCTGCAACAAGTAGAGGAGCAGCTTCCTATTGTTGACCTTCATCAAAGCTGGTTCAACACTGTCTTTCACATAATCTGCCAGAGCATGCTTCTCTTAACATCAAATGACATAAGCATTATGATGCTTATGTCAGCCAAATATTTAGGCTGGATTTTGTATTTTCATCCACCTATCAAGTCCTTCCTAAGGACCTGGGGTAAGCAGATGTTAAAGTTTGATGGTTTTAAAGTTATTGTCACAGTTGTTGTTCCAAGTAAGGCTGCCTTTTGCAATTGACTGATGGTAATTTTGTTAATGCCAATGGTGTTCAAGTAGTACTTCAGTTGTTTTAGGATTGTAGCCAAGGTGCCTATTATTACGGGTACTACCTACAGAAAGACAGTTTTGGCGTGGGGGTGGGCATGGGAGTTGGAAAGGCTGAGAGTCACACATTGGGTACAAGTAAGATGGTAGAGAAGGTTTGTAAAAAGAGTTTTGACGTTTTTCTTGCTTTTCTAACTTTGGTTTCCCTCTCTGAAGGCTTACGCTACAATTTGTAACATTTTCCCTTCTCCTGCCCTTTTGGTGTCCTTTTAAAATTGAATAATAAAAAGACCAAAGGTCAAAAGTATAGCTACAGAGCCAGAAAGGAAAATAAATTAGTGACATAAAGCATTTTTATAACATCACAGCCACCACAGAAATTTTATAAAGCCTGACCTCATTACTGTTATTTTGATACAACAATTGTTGGATTATTCTAGAATAATTCACTTGGGGGAAAATGATGCAAGAATAAAAAAGCAAGGAAGTAAATAAGCAAAAACATTTGGGTAATATTTGAGTATAATATTTATATTCAATATTCCTATATAGCAAATTGCTTTATTAAGAAAAATATTTAATCTAACTAAGAAATTATAACGAGTTATGGATGAACGTATCCTTGATTTTACAATTTTTCAGAGCTTTTTATCCTATTTAACTTTTTACTGCAGCAATTTTCCACTCTTAAATACCACCGTCTCAAAGCTGCAGGAATCTGAGTGGCTGTGAGGCCTAGAAAAGAGAGGTTGAGGAGCAGAGTATAAAGTATAGATAAACCCCGAAAAATCTTATCATATACAGGACATATTTGCCTCCTCACTAGGTCACATTCAGCACTAAGTAATCTCCAGCCGCCCTTAAATGGCTCTAATACAGTTCTAATATCAGATGTAGTTTAGAGGTGAACCAAATCAAATTTCTTTTTGGAATCATCCTTCTGATGACAGGAATAAAAAGATATTGATGTAATCGAATGTCAGAATTGTTCTGTCCATGAGCATTCCGGTCAAGCATCACTAATCATACTTCATCAATTCTTTGCATGGAATGCCAGAGTTTGGTTTGAGAATATTTTCTCTTTGTGAGGTCTGTCATTGTTGCCATCCATGAATAGGATTTGGCAAATCTATATTTTTTTCCTCAAAATCAGAGCATTTGAGCAATATTTCTTCTTGTTTTATTTCTAATGCCAAATTCTGATGGCTACTTAAAGCATGGGCACGGTTATTGTGGAGAAGATTTATTAGGAATCCAAGATGCTCAATATAGGGCAAATTCATGAACTCCTTTTTTTTTTAGTTAAATTTTATAGGAGAGGAGGATAGGAATGCAGACACAGGAACAGACAGACAAGTTCATACGGGAGAAGATGGCCTAAAGGTATTCCCAGCTGGTATTGATTTGGTTACATTCTTTACATCTTAAGAAATATGTTTAATTGCTATTGTTTACTTACTGCTTAACCTATATAGGCCACAGGTATGTTGCAGTTAAAATAACTATGGAAAAAAACCATTGCTTTACCTGAATTTGGCCGATTTCCAATTACTGAGATTTCACATTCCTGCTTCTGTCCTTTTTGGTTCTTTTCCCTTTCGGTTTGCCTTTCATTTTCCTCTCCTATTGGTAATTCATTGTAAATCGGGTAATTCTTATTTATGGTATTCATGTATCTGTAAAAAAAATCAAAGATCCTAAGCTTTGTCATTTGAAAAGAGGAACACCACTCCATTACAGAGATATGAAAACTCATTTTGAAAATAGTTTGGTTATGAAACTATTTTGGTTTGGTTCACTAAATATGCTTTCTGCCCACTGAAATATATTTCAAAATTTTTGATTTTTTTTTCTTAAATTTGAAAAGTTTTGGGAAAAAAGATTTCAAAGGTGTTTTTTTTTTTTAAATAAAGCTACATTATAGTGGATCTCTATCCAATCAAGGCATATATTTGGGGAGGAAATGTTCCACTGATGCTCCTTAACATTTAACAGATGGTGGAAATCAGGTTGAACACAAGTGTCTGAAGAAACACAAAGAATGATTCAAGTCAAAAGTATCCTGTCTGTAACATTAGGGAGTTGTCAAATTCCTTCTTATGATTACTGAAGTGAATAACAAAAATCAAGCCTCACTAATTTTTACTACTACTTATGTAATTGAATTATTTGGAACTGTGCATAATGTGATCTCTTTTGTATGCATTTCAAGATGACACACAAATACTGAAAAAGTTCAGGATTTAATACTGTATAAGGCATCAGTATTACAATCCTAGGAAGTTTTGCTTTTGAAAATTGGGCTTGTAAACAAGTCTGCATTAGTAGCTCAGATCTGTGAAATTAGAAATGTTTGCACATATATCTGAAATTCTATACTGTATAACAAGAAATTGGGAATAAATCATGCAAACACTGGAAAAATGTATATATTTACATTAAATATACTTGAATGTGAACACAATATAGGTGATACAGAATTGCTTCCCCATGCTTCCTGGCCCAAGTTGCTGAAGTTTATAAAAATATATTATATTTTTATAAACTTTGTACACCCCCTACAATCACCAGGGACTAGCTCTATCATTAGGAAAAGATTAGCAGTTTAATCATTAATTTAAAATTTTAGTCAAACTGACTGCTTTGATTAAAGACAAAAACACAACTACTTTTGTTTCTACTTCGAAGCCGCTTACGGACTTTGTGCTTGAGGTGGAAAAAAATGAATCTTTGATTTTTGGTTCTCCTGATTAGATAGGTTTGTTGTTATAGTACTGGCTAATTTATACTATTATGTAAAAGTAAAAAGTTTAGGTTTGATGTTATTATCTTATTCTACTGCACCAAAAGCAGTTGGAAGTCAATGTCTTTTCTTTCTTTTCCCCCTTTTTCCTACACTTTACCTTCCCCTTTCCCTCTTCTATCTTTCCTGCTATTTTCTTTGTATTTTTGTATCTTATATTATTAATTAATAAATAAACAAATGGAAAAATGAGAAGATTGCTACTGACATCAGATTCTGGAAAGGAACAGCACTGTACTGAAAAAAAAGCACCTGAGAACTATATGGCAGGGGTCCCCAACCACCGGGCCGCGGACCGGTACCGGTCCGTGGAACATTTCCTACCGGGCCGCTGGTTTGCTGGGCGCCGCCATCTTGTTTTACAAGAAAGTGCTTCCGGGTGAGCTTTTCCAGTTGGAAAGCGGCGTTTGGGTCCTGAAGGTATCCTCGCGCCTTAGTTTCATCGAAGGGGGGGGGGCTTCGAACGAAACTAAGGCGCGAGGATTCTTTCAGCACCCAAGGCAAGGCGAGCCGAGCGACCGTCCCGAAGCCGTCCTGAAGCGAAGCCCATCGACAAAGGTACAAAGGAGGAATTGAAGGTGGTGGGGAGAAGCGGGGGACGGCTGGCTGGCTGGTCACTCGGCTCGCCTTGCCTTGTCATGCGTGCTGATGCCGGTACCGGGCCGCGGATCATTTTGTGATGCCGGTACCGGGCCGTGGCACAAAAGAGGTTGGGGGCCACTGCTATATGGTATATCCTGTGTTTCTAAAATGGTTCATTGCCTTTAAAGTACAATAAAAGAAGACTCCATCGATGAAGGCAACATTACTGTGAATCTCATTAGTTATTTGAATGGGAGATGATGACATCTTGTTTTTTGTCTCAAGCACAAAATGTTTTGAGTCAGTCTTACTTCCCTCTAGCCAGCAGGAAAAATAGGTATATTGGAAGTGGAGATGGAAGTGGTGATCTAAACCATCCAGGAGGGCAATTGTGGAATAGAAAGATTGTAGAATACAAAGCTACCATACAGGATATTATATAAGACACAGCTAAACATCAGGAAATAACTAATGATGATGAAAAATATTAAATGTTTCCATGTTTGTTGGGTAATTAAGTGCTAAAGCCTTTATATCAGCTGCTGAAAGATATAGAATTTCAGTTGTCCTCAGCTCCCAGGGTTCATGGCTGCCCTGGCATGTGACAGCCTCCAGCATTTAGGCTGCGAGTCAACTGAGAAGCTAGTTAGCCAGAAGGAAGGAATACCAGAAGCTAATAGCAGTCATTAAAATTAAACTGGCATTCTGCAAGTGCTTGTCTCACCATCTGAAAGTTTCAGTTTAGATTTTAAAAGGAACTATCCCTATTCCATGACTCAAAACTTCTAAAAAGCAACAGCAGATATTTTTTACTAGTTAAAATGAAGCAGGCTAATGTTAGAATTGGCATTTATTGTTGTCAAAATATTTCTGCAGACATGAATGCGTATTGCATGCTGTTTTTAATCAATCTTAGAGTGCCATTTACAATTTTATATCATTTTCTTCATCACCAAGTTATGTAGCATTCTTGCTTACATTTGCATATGTTAGCACACTAAAGACTAGGGTGATCTGAGACAAGCAAAGCAAAATCTGAGACAAGCAAGCAAAATGAAAAGAAAAAGCTGTACAAAATTATTTCAAGCCAGATACCATGCAATACACTTGAGTCTCATATAAGTTGGCTACGATTGAAGAGGTGATATTTCAGGGGTGGGGGAATCATTTTTTTAATTACTAAAAGTTCTGAAAGATTAGGAGATCCTTGGTATAAACTTAAGTATACTAGGAAAGATTGCTGAGTAATACACAGTATATGGATTTATATACACAAATAGTACAAAATCACTATTGTCCTAAATTCTGTAAAGCTTCTGGGGAGATATTGTCAGAGCAGTTTAGTGATTGGCAGATGGCAATACAGCTGGTAGGACATGGCTTATTCCAGTATTGCTGGTATTATTTTATTTTCAACTATAACTCTGGGACCATTTAAAATCGCATTTCCCTTATACTGATATGAGTTCGAGCATAATGTTGGCCATTTTAAATAGTCTATAAGAGGAGCTAGTTGTTGAATGAGAATTATAATAGATATTTTCTATAACTTTATTCCAGATATTATTGCTTTCCATTTTCATCCTAACCAAGCCATAATTACTCATTAGGTTGGAAAGATTATATATTTTACCCTTCAATACTATTTATGTATTTTTGAATGCCCTGCCTTTATTATTGTTACAAATAACTCATGGCAGCAACTACATCTTCTGCCTTCTATTTCCCCAAAACAACAATCCTATGAGATGAATTAGGCTAGAGAGAGTCACTGGCCCAAAGTTACCCAGCTGGCTTTCATGGGCAAGGTGGGACTTGAATTCACAGTCTTTTGCTTAGTAGCCCAGTGCCTTAACCACTAGTCCAAACTGACTCTCCAGCCTAAAAGCAGCCTCTTTTCACTATTTGTTCCTTTTCACTATTATCACTGAAACCATTCTGCCATGGCCCACTACTGGGCCTGAGTCCTTTGGAACTGTGTCATGGAAGCGATAGGTGAGTGCATATGCACACATCCCCACTTGCCCGAATAATGGGCAAGCACATGCACACATATTACATTTCCACAGTGGGCACACACGTCCCCCATTGTGCAAATGGACATTCACATGCTCGCCATTCACACAGAACTCTCCATTTTGATATTGAATGCAAATGTTTTATTATTATCTCCATAATTTTTATATAGTACGATTCTATTATAAGTCCCTACCTGGAAAAGACTGTATACAATGCTTTCATCGCTACCTAATCTGTTAGCAGTTTATAAAGCCCTTAAACATGGGATATTTGTGACAGGAGCAGAATGTGGAATTGCTTGGAGACACGTTTGCAATGCCCACAAGACCTGACATCTACTTAAATATGTAACCAGCCATTAAACTTTGTGGAACAAAAGCACAATTTGCTGGTACAATTGAATAGATTAAGATCTCAATTCAAGATGCACCATTGTTCTTTCTGTCAATTAATCTAACCCGACCACCTGGCATTTGTTTTCTGGGTACCATTTGAAATTATCTACTAATTTCAATTACTTAACAATGCGTAAAATTACAAACATGTTCAGTGGCACTGTATTCCCATTGCATAACTCTCTCCACTTGGGCACATGCATAATGAAAACCCTGTTGAATCCATAATAAAATCCAGAGATTTTTCAAGTCTCAGAACTGAATGTTCAAATGTTGTTGCTTGCTTCCTTTTCTAACCAGACAGCGGAAGTTGCCAAGAAACTTTCTGGGCGCACAGCCCCTTTCCATATTAGTACAGGAGTGTATGTATTTATAGCATTTTACCGGAGTAGCTGAAAATTAGATCAAATGCTGATTGTTTTACCCTAATTAAATTATATTCTTAAGTATATGTAATTTTCTTTTCTCATACACACGTAGTTTATGAGAAGATTAAAGCTCTAAAGAGAGGAAGGAGAAATGGAAAGCAGAACCGAACACTTAAACAACACAATGTAACTCCAAGTCAATCACCCTTCTGTGAAATCAAACTGTCCACTTAGGTAGCAACACTGATTGACAATCAATTTCACATGCTGTTGTGCAAATGGAATAGACAACAGGTAGAAAGCATAGGCAGTTAGCAAGACATCCCCAATAAAGGAGTGGTTCTGCAGGTGGTGACCACAGACCACTTCTTCTTCTTTTTTTAAATAAAGTTTTATTTGGGTTTTCACACACAAAATACAAGTAAAACATCTTTTTTTAAAATAGCATGGTCCCGGGTTGAATTTCTTTATACAGACACAAAACTCAATTTCATGCTCCTTTTTGTATT